ATAAACTCTTTCTGGGTTCTTCACCGGCGTTTGATTGTTGTTGGCATTTGCTACTATTGGTTTTGGTTTTTTGCCTTCGCTTCTTGTATGGAGTGAACACGGAGAGTATTTTAACATTTTAATGAAAAGTTCCGACATCTGTTCAACACGAAATCAAAAGAAGACATTTTTCATCCTTTCCCTAAACTTATTATGCGTTTTGTGCTGTGTAACAGCAGTACAAAACGCATATTTTCACGGGGTTGTCTGTGTGTATGTGTCCGCAGCAACTTGTCCGCAACTTTCAACTCGAGAGCCACAAAAGCTAGGAAGCTGAAAATTTAGGGGAACATGTGACCCCGCAAATTTGAACTACCCTCCCCGTCCCGCGAGTAACATGTATGGCCCCGTAAGAGTTTTGGCGGGGAAAATTATTATCTCGCGAAACAGGAAAGCTGGAAGACTGAAATTTTGTCACGTGCCCACGTGCTATCCAGGAAATTTAAATTCAGCTTTTCCTGCCCGTTGATAACACGAAGGGCCCCATAAAAATTTTGGCGAATAAAATTATTATCACGGGAATCGCGGAAGCTTGGAGGCTGAATTTTTGTGGGTATTTCTCCCTCAAATTTAAATTCATAGCAATGAAAATCATTAGCAAGCAATCATTCAGTGGACGGGATTACACAAACGCATAATCGCATGGGCTGCTCTGGCGCGCGTTGCTATTTATTATTTATTGTCCCAAGCTGGAACAGTTTCAGACAGTTTTGAGTATTTCCGAATTTCGGTTTTTAGAGATGTGGGCGCTGAAAGTTTCACGTTGGAAAGTAAGATGGTTTTTTTTGGATCCGTTTCGTACGCTTGACTTTTTTTTCAGGCAAATTGTATAAGTTTAGGATGAAGAAAGACGGCATCGAACGGTTGTTTTTCTACTGAAAGTGAAAGAGGAGCTGAAGGAATGGGACGACAGTTGTTTTGGGCGAAGACGCGAGTGGATGAGTTTGGAAGAGGGCTTGCAACGTGTGAAACGTTCACAGACATGTATTATTCAGCATATACTTAGCATGTGATACGCACACACACAC